TGTCAGCATTAAGGGAAACTGAAGGATGTCAAAATGCATTTTAGAGTAATAGGATTTACAAGTACAGTTGTTACTGTGTGTGTGTCCTTGTATAGCCGGCCACATCTAGCAGTGTAAATGTGTAGTTGGTGCTGTTTTACAAACAGTGTGATCAGGCACTGTGTATAAATGAGTTCCTCTGAGTTCCTCTTGTCACTTATAAATGCTAAGTGACAAGAGGAACTCAAATGTAGTTTCCCCACTCAGTGGGATTATATAGTTTGTTTAACCTTTGACTTTTTCTTTTCAACTAACTATCCCCCATGGTGCAACTTTTTTAATCCTCTTTGTTTAAAGGTGGTGTGATCATTCACCCATAGGGGCATTTAACCCCCCACTGTCTTTCTGTGTCACTCTGACTCATTGTGGACCCCTCCTTGTGAGTTGGAGCCTGTCACAGGGAGGGATAGCAGCCTTGGGCTTAGCTTGGCAATCTTCCAGCACTATGACAACACACACACATACACGCACGCGTGCATAGAGACACACACAAGTAAGACTTGCCCCAGAGAGCCAGGCGTCTGTTTGAGACAGATGTGAAGCATCAGCAGAGATACACAGGCACCCAGACATTTTTGCAGTTATAGCAGTTAGTTATATATCATGCATTTGTGTGAACGAATTCATAATCACACACACATATGCACACACACACATACACACACAGATGAGTCCTTCTGTACAAACCCCAAAGGAGTAGAGCATATGTTTCCTCTTTCACCACTGGGGAGAGTGGCACAGTGAGGGGAGGGGGTGTTTATGAGCAAGTGTCATTAATATGACAAAACAAGGCTGGCAGAGGGATTTGCGGCACATTCTGGTGCCACCATCATCTGTCAGTGCTTTTTCTACTGCTGTTAGCATCACTATTAACACTGGGCTAATCCCGCTTGGTCTGCAACATTGTTTAGGTGAGTGACACATGACAAAATCACATTTTAAATTAATGACAGGACGCTATGTTTCCCAGGAGACCACTGAAACAACTCATGAAGAATTAAAAAAAGTGACCATCAATGTCTGTCAATCCAATGCTTTGCATTGTGCTTGGTGATGTAAGGCTTGGCAATAGAAGCTCATTCCACGAAGCTCTCTGCACAGTGTTCTTGAGCTAATCTGCAGGCGACATGAGTTTGTAGGCTTGTTGTGCCTGACTTTGCAGAAAGTTGTTGACCTCTTGGCATTCTTTAAATTCCATTCTTTCACAAATGTTTGTAGAAGCATGGAAAGATACTTGATTTTATAAACCTTTGATTGGAGCTTCTAAATTCAATCATTTGGATGTGTGAGTGAAGACAATACAGTGTAAATAGATGCATATTGACACCAGTTACTCAAAATACGATTGGAGCAGAAACGAAAAGTTTAAAAAAAGAAATTCTCAAAATTAGTTTGTACTTCAGCGAACTTGCTTAAGTAAATGTACTTAACAGTAGTTACTGTCTCTGCCCTTTTGTCACGTCTTTTTTAATAGCTTTTCTTCATGAGTTGTTTAGGCCTTTCTGTGTTCTGTTAAATAATTCAAGCATGTGAATAGAAGCTCAAAAACAAATCATAGCCTGTGTTTGTGGACTTGTGACAGGGTGCGATAAGGCAGTATAAAAATCAATTCTGCCTGCGCTCTGCCTGCGCTCTGCCTGCGCTCTCCCTCCCCGCTGGCTTTGTCTTTGTTGTCCAGTCTCTGTCTTCAACCAACCACCGTTGGAGAAATAACTACTGCTTCTTTGAATAGGATAATTTCACCGTCATTACATACCCAGCTCGAGTCCCATAAGCCACATCTCCACCCCTTTGTGGCTTAAAGCAAGGTATTACTTAGGCTTTGCTGTTCTGAAGCCATTCCAAAAGCAAATTATTGTAGCACATTGCCATCCATCATCAACTGTCAGTCAATGAACTGAAGGACTGATCATGCAATCTGTTGCTTTTCTGGAGAATATTGATGAAGACATTTTGAGGTGATGAATGGTGAGGAGTTTACATGATGTGTTGACTATCCATGAATAACTGTTGATAAATCATTTATGGAATAATTAATTAGTGCAGTTTGATGCGCTTGATGGAGATTCTGCATAGCAAGCAAGAATCTGGCAGATGAAGTGATCTGGGGGTTCGCTTTATCTTATTTTGGCACCAAAACACAATCAAAACAGTGCTTTAGGTCAGACTACATTGTGTATTACACAAAGCACAATGCGACTAGTGGTTACTGAGCTAATCCATCACCTGCTGATGCAAACTCTGCCCTGAACTATCCAAATTTAGCAATTATCTAGGAAGCTGTAATTAGTCCTTTATGCATGGCTGTGGAAGACGTATTTAGCCTTGTAAGACATTTCCCATTTTTGGGTGGACTGAGGCTGAAAACAATAAATACACACAGCCTCTCCCCATTCATAAAGTTCTTTTACTGTGTGTTCTTTCACGCTTCCTTTAATTTTCTTTTTGGGGATAAAAATGCCACATTGAAAATAAAGACAACAAACCTTAATTAAATGTTGTTATTCTGAAAGTTGCTATAAAAAAATTGGCTGCACGAGTTTTGATTGGGTTAATATTTCATGAACGTGAATATTTGAGTTCATTAATGTGCAGGTGATGGTTCCTTGTTATCTACTATTTTGAAATGTCTTTAAAGGAGTGCTATGGTGATTTTTTTCCTTCATCTTTAATAGTTGAGGGAGTCATGAAGAGCATGAGATATCCTGCCTTCTCTACGATGCATCACGGGCAGGGGTGTCCAACTCCAGGCCTCAAGGGCCGGTGTCCTGCAAGTTTTTAACTGTACTAATTCTGTACAGTTCATATAAGTTTAAATCAAGCTTGTTAAAGCTTGAGCCTAACCAAACATGACACATGTTCTAAGAAAACAAGATGTGGAGTAGATATATTTATATACAATTAATTTACTTTCTCCTTCAGCCCTGTTTCCAAAATGGGGATGCTTTAAAGTAAATAAAAATAAGAATGCAGTTATGTGCAAACAAATAAACTGAATAACTCAATACAAATTTAGAAAGTACAGCATATTGTACTGCTGTATTGTTTAAATAAAGGATGCCAAAGACATTTTTAAAGAATGGTTTCAGGTTTCAGAATGAGCATGTTTACCACTGCATTGCATCACCTCGACTTTCAACACTGTAACCATTTGGGAACTGAGGAAAGCAGCTGCTGTAGTTTTAAAAGAAAAATGTTTTCCCATGCTTGCTTGATATCGAAGTTTAGATGCACAACAATTTGAGACTTCTTTGTTCTAATGTTATTTTGAAAATATGCCATTTTTTTCAATGGGTCACAGCTCTGAACTGTTGGAGGCCATTTTAGCACTAGGAATGTTTATTCGTGCAGAATGTGATTAACTGTTATCTTGTTGAAATAACAAGTCCTGTGCAGTCCTGTGGAAAACTAAGCACACCCCTACTGCTTCCATAGGGATGTGGACAATAAACAGCCAGTTGCTGTTTATCAAATGCACTTGATTGACTGATTATCAGCAATTGTAAGAACTGCTACAAAAGCAGGAGTTTGGACAGTTTGCTGGTCTGGAGCAGCATTCAGGTGTGTATTAACACAATGCCAAAATGTTCCAAGGAGTGGACATGCTGGTAAATTCACCCAAAGGACAGACCATGACCTAAGAGCAAGTGAACAAAACTCCAGAGCCTCTTGAGTCTGAGCTTCATGTCAGACACATTTAGCATGTTAAACGTTGATGTTCATGGCAGGACTATTTGAAAATAGTGATCAAGTACGGTTTGTTTGGAAGTGTTACAAGAAGAAAGCCAATTCTCTCTGAAAACAACATGGCAGCGTGGCTTACATTGGGAAAGTTAGATCGGAACAAACTACAAGGCTTCTGAAATTATGTTCTTTGGACAGAGGAGACCAAAGTGGAGCTGTTTAGTCAAACTACACAGCACCACATCCGGCAAACACAGATAACAGTTTAAAAACCTCATACCAACTGTGAAGCACTGTGATGCATGTTGGTGGAGGGGTGGTGATTTGGTTTGTTCTGTTGCTAGACCACCTGGGCACCTCACAGTCATGGAGTTAGTCAAGAATTTCTCTGTGTACCAAGTATTCTAGGGTCAAATGTCAGGCCATCGGTCTGACAGCTAAAGCTTGAGGGAAATTTGATGAAACAGGACAATGAGGCCAAGCCCACAACCAATAAAACATTTTTTAAAAAAGAAAAGAACCAAGGAAGTCCAGATCTCAACCTACTTACAATGTTGTTGTGGAACTTAGCAGAGCTCTGCGTGTTAACCCTCAATGAGCTAAAGTAATTTGTAAACAAGAGCGGACCAAAATTCATCCACAGCAATGTGAGAGACTGATAAATTCATTCAAACAACAAATACATCACATTATTGCTCCTGAAAGGGGTTTTAAGCTACTGAGTACTGTACTTAGTGTTTCACAGGATTGCATGGAGTGGAAACTTTCATTTTCACTTGACTGTATATCCTTCAGTATTATTGTTACCCTGACAGATGTTTAAATTAGATATGTTCTTTAGTTTTAATATCGTCTCCAGAGAAAACCTCACAAGGCAGCATTTCTGCCCTGTGTGTTTGGCTTTGCACTTTTAACTTGCATTTTTAGATGCAGCAACAAACCAGTTTGTACACTGTGTCTGAACTTCAGAAGTGTTCCTAAGTCGGCACAATAATTTCCAATACTTCTAGGATGCTTTCTTTATACCCAGTCAACATAATAATTAACCACAAGGAATGAGGTTAATTAACTCGGTTTAATTTAGTATGTGTTTTTCAAAGGAAACAATATCATTTCTCAGTTTCACTTTTGCCTTTATACTAAGGCGTTTAAATGTTTGCAGATCTTTTACATCGTTGGTTTATTGAAAATCTGGCTTGTAATTAGAAAAATCATTTGTGTTCACTTCTTCACAGCGACTGACATGATTATCTACTGTTCTCCCGTGCTGTTTACAGGGCAGTGGTGCACATTCAGGTCAACGATGTCAATGAGTTTGCCCCAGTGTTTCGGGAGCCCCAGTATCAAGCAGCAGTGACAGAGGGCAAGATTTATGACAATATCCTGCAAGTGGAGGCTACTGATCAGGACTGCTCCCCTCAATACAGCCAGATCTGCAACTACCAGATCACCACTACTAACACACCCTTCGCCATCGATCGTAACGGTGAGTAGAAGTTGGGGTGGAGTATTAAACGCATTCGGGAGTTTTTGTAATACTTGTCACAAAGAAGCTACGCTGTTACCGGTCATAGTCAGTGCACTGTAAGTTTTATTTTGAAACACTTTCCTTGAAACTTTTGTGTACCCATTTTCTCTCAAAGTTCTGCTTCACCTATTTCACTGATTTCCCACAAGTCCAAAAAGATCTTCCAAATCAAGTTTAAAGTTTGTTGCCTTCCCTTGGCTCTTCATCTGATATACAAAAGATGTAAAAACACATTTCTCACATAACGCCACAACACGCATGATCTAAAAATCCCATCCATCCGTACTCACTATAGAGCCATGGGAGAAGTGAACACACATACCTGTATACGCTCTAGTAGAAAAACTTAATACTCTGACAGATATCTCTCCCTGGGGGTAAAATGCACTCTTTAGTCTTTCCAAGGACAAAGTCAAGCTTTGCTCAGAGAGCCATCACTCTCCACAAATCAGATCACAGAAGTCTGTGCACACACAAACATTATATAGACAAACACACACACACGGAGACAAAGAAAAATCTAAGGACACGCTCACATACCCCCGCAAATTTACTTAACTTTGCTGAGTTGCTACTTGTACTTTGCTACATAGGTAGCTATTAATCATTATTCTCTAAACAAAAGTTAAATGTTATCATGAGCCACAAACTCAAATACGAAAATGCCCACAAAATCTATTGTGAAATGTGGTTCCACTGTTTTTGTGTGTACTGACCTTCTGTCTTATTACCATTACAATTGTTCAATTTTAAATTGTGAATGTAATAATAGAACTTCATACTTAGAATGCAACATATTACATGAGCATACACTTTAACACTGGACTTACTGTGTCATATACTTTTTAGACAGGCAACTCAAATACGGCTGCTGCATTAGTGCCACCGAGACGGTACATAAACTCTTTTGCCTAAAATACAGAGATGAAAGGCACATTACTGTTTCAATTTTTACTACTGCCAGCAGAGAGTTCCTGACTGTTGAGGTGCTGCAGTAAAAAGGCTGACTGAGTGAGGTGTGGGCCAAACTGCTCTGTGAATGATACAGGAGCGGGGCTGCAGCCTGTGTACGCTCTCTCCATTTCAAGGGGTCTTGCTTAGCTATTGACCGCTGAGGAAAAAGGCTTTGAGAGCTCTTGAACTCAAGAGTACCTGAGGGAGAGGAGAAGATGGTGGGAGAAAAGTGGAGGTTGCCTGTGAGAGAGAGAGTAAGTGGTGAGACTGGGTCGGGGACATAAGCACACTGCAAAGTGTAGCAGGAAAAATCTAAACAAGCAAGGAAAAAACTAGTGATGTTGTAATTTTTAAGTAGACCGAAAATCCCATAAAAACACGGGGTATTCTTTTTCCTAAGCTTAAAACAACCTCTTCCTTTGTACTGTAGATGCTTAAAAAAGTAAAGTAATCACTAAACTTGCATTAAAGAAAGGGCCTTGCTTGGTGGGGGTGCTTCACCTCTGTTACCGCTGAGACAATGAAATGCAATGCAGGCGGAACTAGAGAGATGACAAACTATAGGTTTTTGAAGCCACAAAACACTTCAGAGTGAACCTTTACCACTCTGCTGCTGCAACACTGATTTAGGGAAACAGTAAATACAGTATGCATGCTGTATTGCTGCACCAGGGGGGATATTGCACTACATTCCATGCTTGCTAACATGCTAATATTAGCAAGCAGGTTAATGGTATTTTGATAAGATCCCATTAAATATGGTTAAATATGGGAGGGTTAATTTAGTACAGTAACACTAATTACTTGCTTTTCAGTTATCCTCACCCCAGGTGGATTGAAAGAAAAAAAGATATGCTTTTTTTCCTGCACACTACAGTCAGATGATTTGTGTGCAGGAGAAGGAAAATGGTGGAGCAGTCTACAGCAGAGACTTTTACTGCACTATTATTTTTTATTGCACAAAAGGACAAGAACTTGATGGCAAAGTGCAAACTCTGCCCAGGACAGAAACAACTGTATTAAAATGCCAACAAAGCCTCAGCTCTTTGCAGGCATCTCCACAAACAGCTTTAGCATAAGTCTGGGTTCTTGGGTAGCTTTTTGTTGGCATGCTGAGTGCTGTCCTTAGCAGGTAACAAAAACAGTGATGAGCAGTCAGCCCATGTTTCTACCTGTTCAATCACTTTCAATATTGCTTTTAAGTCTCTTAAGACAACTTGTGTTGTTGTATTTGTTTTCACAGTAAACACTAAAACAATACATATGTGTGGCTTCATTATGAGATATATACAAGGCTGGACTGGGACAAAAAATCGACCCGGGCATTTTGACTACAGACCGGCCCACCAGGATAAAGATTGAAAATGTGACGTCATTCAGGGGTAAAACCGCAAAGGATTCTGGGAACTTGTGGCAAGAGGTACTAGCGCACGCAGGCTTTCAATTGAACTCAGTTACACAGCGATAAAAAGAAACCCAAAAAATGGCAAGAAGCTGTTGTATTATTAACTGCAATAGCCGGTCGCATGACAGCCACGGGAAGCCGACGGGTAAAGAGATCGTTTTTTTTTTATCGGATTACATCGTTGAAGAGAAATTTTTTAAGCCATGTTTCCGAAGTAAGAGCCGACGGACGGCCTGGATATACCAAATATGACGTCCCAGAACACTCCAGCTCACATGTTAGTCTGCTCCAAATCAAATCAAATCAAATCAAATCACTTTTATTGTCACATCACATGTGCAGGTACATTGGTACAGCACATGTGAGTGAAATTCTTGTGTGCGAGCTTCACAAGCAACAGCTTCCAAGCATTTCCACACAGGTCAGTCTGCTGTTGTAGTTAATGCGTCATTTTTCTTAACATAATTGGTGATATAGGTTACAAGCAAGTCTGGCGCTGAACAGAAATGGTCGCGCTATGCTCCTTTGTTTATTGTGCATAAATAGTGAATTGTCCTGACACAATATTGTGTTTCGCTTCTGTTATTATGGTACACTGACAAAAACATATACTTTTATTCACAGGGTAAAACAGTTGTTTTGTATCACTAATTGCCCAGTACGATTACAACATACAATATTATTGTCACTGCTACATTTCTGTAATGAACCAGAAATTATTTCCACTACTAATTAATTACCGTTGAGCTCAAAGGTCCTATTAATAAACGGTTAACGAATGTGTATTTATAA